CCCGAACCCTCAACCCTAAACCCCCCAAACCCCAAACCCCCTATACCCTCAACCTCTTAAACCCAGAAAAAACCCCAAACCCTAAACCCCCAAACCCTAAACCCTAAACCCCCCAAACCCTAAACCCCTATACCCTCAACCCTAAACCCCCAAAAAACCCCAAACCCTAAACCACCCAAAACCTAAACCCCCTAAACCCTAAACCTAAACCTCCCAAACCTTAAACCCCCTATACCCCCAAAACCCCCAAACCCTAAACCCCTACCCCCTATCCCTACACCCGAGAAAGGCGTGCGCCGGACCGGACGGAGGAGCTGTAGACTTCCTGAGCCCGGGTGCCCTCTGCGGCTTCGGAGGTCCTGCGCTTGGGGTTGGGGTGGGTTTAGGGTTTAGGGTTTAGGGTTTGGGGGTTTAGGGTTTAGGGTTCAGGGTTCAGGGTTCGTGGGTGTAGGGTTTATGGGTTTTGGGGGGCCTTAAGGGTTTCGGGGATGCGTTTAGGCTTTTGGGTTGAGGGGTGTAGAACGCCTAGAGCATGAGAGAGCTTCATTTGAGTGTAGGGTTTTGGGGCTTAGCTTTTGGCGGGTTTGCGGGTGCCAGAGGGCAATCTGCAGCCGGCTGCGCAGGTCATGAAATCCCCGGAGTGAAGGAGAAGGAGAAGGAGAAGAAGAAGCAGAAAGAGGCAGATGCAGGCGCCAGCGGGCTAGGGTTTAGGGTTTAGGGTTTAGGGTTTAGGATTATGATCATGACTTAGTTGGGGCCGTGGTACAGGGCGGATGCAGGTCTTGGGCCCTTCGGAGGGGTCCGCTGGCGGCCGCTGATTTGTTAACGTAGCGGACCTAATACTTAGAATCGGGTTTTGGGGGTCTATTATACTCTAATTAGAAACAGGAACCCCCGAAATAGTATAGGTAATTATTGGGTTTAGGGGTTTTTTGTACTATAAATATAATTAGGAACCCCCGAAATAGTATAGGCAATTCTTATAAGGCTCCTACATCAACATGTCCACGGTTTCCCACAGGCTCCAACCCTCTCTGAGCGACTTCTCTCAAGAGGGGCTCGATGCAATCAGCTGATGTGGAAAGACCTGTCCCAAAAACACTTGCCTTAAACTCTGAAGGTTTAGGGTTTACCCATGGGCCCCATAGTAGTTCCTTTTGGGGTTACCTTATAGGCTTCTATATATGAACACCAGAAAGGAACTACTCTAGGGCCTATGGGTAACACTGAACCCTAAACATGCACCAGATGAATTCCTGAGTCACGTGGTTGTGGGCTTGGGCTGCCATGCTCCCCGACCCGGCGGAGCGCCATGTAGGGTTGAGAACTCCAGGCGTTCGCAGCGCTTGACGGTTTTGCGTTTCAGGGCTCGTTCCTTTGCGCTGCTGACAGCTCCCGGAATGCATCTTGACTGCAGCATTTCAGCTTCAGACGCGGCCATGAAGGACCAAAAAAGTAGCAACCGCCACTATTGGCTTCAACCCGAAACCCAAAACAGCTCCTCTCAGCGTGAACCTCAAGCCTAAAATCTCCAGCAGCCTCCCTAAGCCCCTTTCCCTCAACTCTGAATCTTGCAGCTCAGGTTGAACTGCCGGGTGCGGTTTCAAAAACTCAACCACCCCCTTACAAGAAGCAAATTGAATCCACAAGTCCTTCTGCCCGAAAAATATATAAACCCACCCTCTCCCTGAGAAGCCTTATACTATGAGCCCTTGTCCGTAGACCCACATTAATTATATATTCTTGCAGCCCGAGCCCCGGGCCACTACATGCTGGTTGGTCACGCTGGTTACCGCCCTGCCCCTGGCGTATTGGAGTGCACCCCACGTCCCCTTCGCAGGCAGGACGTTCCGGGGGGCACGCTATGGCAAGCAATGTTGAAATTGTTCACAGCAGTTTCTCAGGGAGACCAGAATCGCAGGATCAGTGCTCCCGGGTTGGGGTTGGTTGATTGCTGATGGCTTGGGGTTCGAGCTTCAGAATGTAGGAAGTGGAGGTTGAATCCTCTAGCATCTCTATCTTAAGAACCCCAAACCCATTTTTGTAGGTTCTTATTATAAACCCTAATATGGAACTTACAAGGACCCTACAGAAAAGTAGGTTTTGGGGTTCTTAAGGTAGGCCTATGTAATAACTGGGAGGTGTGGTTCAAGACTTCAGGTTGCCCTCTGAAAGGATGCTGACTAGAGCTCACTTTGCTAGAGGCCTTGATTCTTTAGGGTTTAGGGTTTAGGGTTTAGGGTTTAGGGTTTAGGGTTTAGGGTTTAGGGTTTAGGACCCAAATCCCCCAAGACCCAACCCTACGTACATCGGAAAACCTACAACCCCATGAACACCCCCTAAACCTTAAATCCTAAACCCTGAACCCTCAACACCTACAGAAGCCCTCTGGCCCCTAAACCCTAAAGCCGTAAACCCCAAACCCTTCAATCCTAAACCCTAAACCCTAAACCCCTAAACCGCAACCCCTAAAGCCTAAACCCTAAACCCTAAACCCCTAAACCCCTAAACCCTAAACCCTAAACTCCTCTCTAGGCCGACGCAGCTTCGAGCCGGGGCTTCGAACCTTTCTGGCGCAATGCACCGCGTGCTCATCGTGGGAGCGGGCGCCACCGGGCCCCTCGGACACTTTGGGTTTAGGGTTTAGGGTTTAGGGGTTTAGGGTTTAGGGGTTTAGGGGTTTAGGGTTTAGGGGTTGGGGTTTAGGGTTTAAGGTTTAAGGTCGGCTTTGGGGGGGGTGGGGGTTTAGGACACATTTCGCGGGGGTTATGGGACTTGGGTTTCTGAATCAGGTTCCTACACGTGAGGGAGGCTCCGGTCTATGAGGGGAAGGATGCAGAGTTTAGGCGATGGGGGTTTGCTCTTCGGGGATCTAGGAATTGCGGTCCTGTGGTCGAACACAGAATGTGATTCCATACAGGGGCATTATAAGAATTACCTATACTATTTTGGGTGGTCCCAAATATTATAGTGGTAGAGTATACCCCATTAACCCTGTTCGAAATACTGAGACCCCTACATTCGGATCTTGGCTTCGAGGGTCAAGGGCCCAGGGATGTGAGACATGGTGCTGCAATCGCTGACTTTCTGCAGCAATGTCAGTTTTTGTGGGCATGGCTGCATATTGATTACGGGTGCTCTCAGCTTTTCTTTTCAGACACAACATCAAAATTCTGACTTGAGCAATCTTCATTTCTCTAGCCATGACCAGGCAAAACGGCTTGAATCCTTCCCCAACGAAACTGCCTTCCCTGACGGCCTGTTCTTTATCCCTAAATGGGGTTTAATTCAAGCTAATGCCAAGTTACAAGCCCTGCGCGTCGAAATGCGCTTAGTAGAAAATATCAATTCGCAGATTGTGCGCAACACTACTGTCGCGTTCTGTGAGTCTCCCAGCACACAGGCGAATTGCATTTCGCACGTCCCTCTTGAAAAGTGGAAATCCATGTCTTCAGTTGAAATCAGAAATGCTTTACCGTCCAAGCCTGGACCCTTGAAGGCGCAAAAATTAAGGATACTCTCGAGACGTTCAATCAAAAACAGCTCCTTGAACATAAATTTTGCCCGCACATTCTTGAGCCTATATATGGGCTTCCGCTGAAGCTTGTGCATGTTGCAGAAAGTTACCCAACTTTTCGACTGAGCCACGAAGCCTGACGCATAGATGTCCACATCCGCGCGACTTCAATGTACAGTTGTTGGATACGTGCTCGGTGCAGTATGATTCCATGTTGTGTTGCATTCATTGATGAAACCATTGCAAAGCTGATTAGTCAGGACGGCTAGCCCAAATTGTAGCCAGACCTTTGAGTGCGCACAAAGAAGCTTTGCAGTACTCGCTACAGACTTCTGTCTGCAACCACCCCCAAAACCCTCTTCTAGTCCTAAACCTTAAACCCTAAAGGCCCTACATTCGGATTTTTGGCTTTGAGGGTCGAGGACCCAGGATTGCAGGTTTCAGAAGCTCGGCGCGGAACAGGGGGTTTTGGGATCTCTTAAGCCCTAAACCCTGATTCCTACAAAGGTGCGCCTTCACAACTTTAAAACACAAGCCCTAAATCGTAAACCCTAGACATCCCAAACCCCCTAAATCCCCAAAGCCCTAAACCCACCCTGAACCCAAAACCCCCAACAGTTTCATTTGTAAGGAGCAGTTTCAATGGGTCTCGACTTCCGGAACTCATCCCGGAAAATTCTCGGGGTCAGAAGCCACAGGAACCCTAAACCTTAAAACCCCCAAAGCCCTGAACCCCTAAAGCCCTATAAACCCCTAATTAAACCCTGAACCACTACAGCACTGAACCCCTAAAACCCCTAAACCCCCTTAAGCCCCAAACCCCACAACGCCCAAAAACCCCCAAAAGCCTTTGGCAACAGATTCCTCAAGGTCCGCCGCCGCCTTCCGGCTGCGGCAGCTCGGGGTCGAAGCGAAGTTGGAGGCCTTTAGGGTTTAGGGTTTAGGGTTTAGGGTTTACGGTTCAGGGGTTAGGGGTTTAGGGGTTAGGGGTTTAGGGGTTTAGGATTTAGGAGGTTGGGGGTTTAGGGGTTAGGGGTTTAGGGGTTTAGGGTTTAGGGGTTAAGGGTTTAGGGGTTTAGGGTTTAGGGTTTAGGGGTTTAGGGTTTAGGGGTTTAGGGGTTAGGCTTTTAGTCTAAGGTTAGAAGTATGGGCCCCTAATATGGACCCTTAGGCCTTTCTAGGGACGCTTAAGGGTACAGATAGGGTATATAGCAGGTATAAGGATCCCAGTGTTAAGGGCCCATACTAAGGGCCCATGGTTTCAACCTTAGACAAAAGGGTTCCTCCAACGGTTCCTTCAGGGCTTCACGTCAGAGTTGAACTGAGGGTTCCTTTATTAAGAGCTCTTTATTGAAGCGCTCTTTTAAGGGGTTCCTATAAAGGGTTAGGGTTTAGGGTTCTTTAAAGGGGTTCCTGTAAAGGGTGTTAAGGGCCACGTGACCCAAGGGTTTATAGAAGGCAGCTTTTTGGCCCCAACAGGGACTTTACTTTCTGGTTCGGTGTTTGGGGTTCAGGGACCCCCTCTGAGTTTGACAAGGACGCTTTTGCTTTGGGGTCTAGGGTGCGAGGAGTTCTGTCACAGGGGCTTTTGGGGTTTTGGGGTTTCCCAAAACCCTAAACCGTACTTGGGGTAGCGCAGCTTCCTATCCCTAGAAATCCGGACGGGCCAGCTGAGCACACTGCGGCGTGCGTCTTGATTGGCCAGTCGCCGTGATAAGTATTGGCATGTGGGTGGTTGTCAAAATTATGGTCCCTTTTGGGGTCCTTATTATAATACGGCACTTATTATTTAGGGTACCCCAAAAGGGATCATAATTTTGACAACTACCCATGTGGCAACCAAACAAACTGTTGCTGCCACTGTCATCATGAGCACTCGGCTTTGCAAGTACTGCAGTTACGGCCGATGCTGCCTTTGTTGCTGCTGGGGAGAGTTAGTGTAGTCATATTTTGTTAGTAATCTTTAGTAATCCAGTCAGCCTTCTAGCTGTTACCACCGAAAGTGTTGCCTAGTCCTGATCGTGTTTATGTTGCTATTGCTATTGTTGCCGACCGCCTTTTCCTCTTTGCGCTTCATGTTGTTGTCACGGTTGTGCTCATGACCTGTGCGGTCGCTACTATCAATACCGTTAACGCCAGTAAAACTTTCATTGCCACGGCATGCTACGATCATTGTTCGTACCACTGTTCTTGCTATAGGATCCACATTCTGCAAGCAATTTCTGGCTCATAGTATCAAGGCCGTCAGTATGAGCGTTCTTCTCTCAAAGCCATGATGCGATACGTACTTGCGCTGACACAGATGGTTTAGCTGCCTGCGAGCAATAGGTACTCGGAGTGGCCTGCATCTGACTTTCTTCTCGGGTGGTGCTTTGGTTGAACCACCGCTTAGAGAACTCTTGCTGATTCCATCCTACCGCACGGTATCGAGTGTTAAACCCTGGACCCCAGCCTCATTTCATTTGCATGTTGAACGAAACTCCTAAACACGAACCCGAGTCAAAGCATAATGGGCGGGAGGCGGATGGATTTGTTGTGTTTTGTGACGCCCTGTGAAGGTGTGGGAGAAAGCTCGCGGACCAGGCACAGTTTTCACACAGGTCTTCCTCCCTAAACCCTAAACCCTAAACCCTAAACCCTAAACCCTAAACCCTAATTGATACGTGCGAGCCTTGCACATGTGAGGTAAGCAGCCGATTGGAATCCTGCTTCTCGCTAAGACAGACAGAAAAAGCGCAAGCTTCGTGGGTTCGGGATCAGGTTCTTGTAAGCGGGAGCTTGAGCTGCTTGAACGACGCGATTAAGCTTCTACATCTCCACCCCCTAAACCTTGCACCCTGAGCTCTCGAACTCAAAGCCCCCCGAAATCCTCGGTGCTCCTGACAAGCCATGCCTTGAGCTCTGCCGGCCTTGTCCCAAACTCCTCCTAAAGCTTCCGGAATCCTGGTCAGCCCTTACGCCCCCTTTGCAGCCCCTTTGTTTTTTTGGGGGGCTGTGTGCCGAATCCCCGAGGCGGTCGCATGAGCACGAACCGCCAGGAGGTGGAAGGAAGCACCGTCCGGGCGGACATGGGGGCACAGTGGCTCGGTCAGCAAAGGTGTTTGCACCCTAAACCCTAAACCCTAAACCCTAAACCCTAAACCCTAAACCCTAAACCCCAAAACCCCAAAACCCTAAACCCTAAACCGGAAAAGAGCAGATGAGAAGGGTCAGGCCGTGCTGCATGAACTCATTAGAAGAGCGATGGCATTGCAAGACCAAGTGCGAGAGAAAGAGCCGTAGTGCTTTGGGGCAGCTAGGGAGGTTTTGCGATGTGCCATTGATAGTGCCGAGTCCGTACATGTACGAGGCATTATTGTACGCTGTTAGACCAACATACTCCAACATATTCTATATCGTGTGTATCTATCCATACATACGAGTCTTCCTGTAATTACATCGCACCACATTACATCGTAGTGTATTATACTACGTTATATTGTACTACGTTGTATTGTACTATGTTATGTTATATCATGTTATACTATATGATATTGTGTTGTTTATGTTGTATTGTATTGTCTTTAACTAGGCTATGCTATATTATACGGTATTCTATATTAAACATGATTAAACTATGTTATATCATATTATATGATGATGATATACTGGTCACATACAGCTCTATATGAAAACTTATGTGTGCATATACATGCATACATATACTAAACCCTAAACCCTAAACCCTAAACCCTATATATATATACATATATGATGCATTGTAAGTGTGTGTATACGTGTGTATATATATATATATGATGCAAGGTACATCTCCATGGATCCCAATGACACAGCGAGCTCTCAAGTGTCGGAGCTGCTCGTGTCCAAAGGCGTTTGTAGCAAGGCCTTCAGCTTGAGATTTGCAGTTAGGGTTTAGGGTTTAGGGTTTAGGGTTTAGGGTTTTAGGCTTGAGGGTTTAGGGTTTTAGGCTTCAGGGTTGGAGGGGTTTAGGGTTCAGGGTTTAGAGTTTAGGTTTGGGTGTCCAGTGTGGGGAGAGTTTGAGAGCTTGAGGCTCTGAGGGTTTACTCTTTCGGGATGCTATAGGGCCATGGGGCTTGGGGTTTGAGAGTTGGGCCTGGAGCTGTCTTAATGTACCGCCGTGGCCAACCAAGCGAGTCTGGGCACCCATGCAAACAACAACAACGACGACGACAACAGCAACGACAACAACAACAACAACCGCAACGGCAACGGCAACGGCAACGGCAACAACAAGAACAACGACAACAACAACGACAACGGCAACGGCAACGGCAACAAAGACAATCACCACAGCAACCGGCAGTAAAGGATCCAGGCTATCGACATGGGCAGCCGTCAGATGCTTGAGGCTTCAATTCATCCTGGGCCCGAGCCTATTCCGCCCAAAGCCCTGAGCTTAAGAAATCTCAAAAGCAGAGCCCGGAAGCCCTAAATCGTAAATTCTCTGAGCCTTCACCGGTGAGCCGTACAGTGGTAGAATTAGTAATAGAACCCTTGTAACCCTGAGACCCTAACCTTCGAAAGCCCTACAGCGCAAAGTTCTCCACCCCAAGACCCTAAACCCCTAAAGCGTTTAATTTTTTGTTAATATGTAATCCCGAATCATTAGTATTATAGCCCCTGCGGGCTCTTGATAGACTTGCAGTAGACAAGAACTGTGCCCCAAAACCTTGTTCCTAGTATAACCACGGCACAAACTAGACCAAAACTTGTCCCTAGCATAATGAGAGTACAACATACCCCAAAACCCCAAACCCTAAAGCCTTGAATATGGAGGCCCTGAATAAGTAGTAATACCCAAGGCACCGAAACCCCAAACTCCTAGAGCGTCTTTCCTTATCCAGACCGCGTAGCCGGAAGGTCCATGGGCAGTGAAAAGTGGGGTTATAAGTCGTTGAATATGCGTTGCAACTCTGGGTTTTCGTGCCTACAACCCTAAACCCTAAACCTTAAAACTTAAACCCTCAACGCTAAACCTAAACCCTAAACACTAAGCCTTAACCCAAAAACCTTGAAGCCTAAACCCTGAACCTAAACCCCTAAACCCTAAGGTCTAACCCCTAAAAATCCTAAGCCCCACGCCTCAACCCTAAACCCTCAACCTAAACCCCTAAACCCTGAGCCCTAACCC